TTCATTACGAACGATTTCATGAATGACTCTGCCATCGGACTCATTCCAGGGTAGATGTCCGGCGACAAGCGCGTACAACGTGACTCCCATTGACCATACATCGCAGGGCTAGAATCAAACATATTTATGATCAATTTTTATTTTATCAATTCGTTAAATAGTTGTATAACGTGAGATTTATCAATTAGAGTAATTCATCGTTTTAAAAAATTTTAAAAATTAAAAAAAATATTTAATATTTACTATTTATATAGGAAAGTTTAATTTAAAATATTTGCTGGTATATATCGTTAAACTATAAAATATTCTAAAACAACGTTATATCAATATTTTAATAACAATGAATAATATGTTGATATTCTTTATCTACAATAAATCATACATGATTGATTTGATAAAGAAAACTGTTCGATTTGTCGAACAATATAAATGAATTTGTATTGATGACATGTAATATCAGTTTTTAATTTCAAAGCGTAAGCCAAATAGTTCAATATTGTGTTACAATATCTAATTATCATTATATCTAAATAAATTGTTAATTTAAATAACTTGTATGCCTGTAGTAGTATAATAAAAGATGTCTTGATCAAAGATTGACTGAGAGAAAAATGTCGTGAATGCATTCAAGTGTCTTATTAAATAATAATATATTTTATATAATGTAATATAATATAATTTATATAATGTAATATGTGATATAATTTATATAATGTAATATGCGAATTTAAGCTTTTGTACAGTGCGTGGGTTGTATGGTGGGTTGCATGATCGGATTATACGGAAAGATGATATTATATAAAAATATTAGTTTACTATCGCGTATTATAATGTAACAGGTTTCTTCCTTGTAATATTGCTGATTTTGTAATAACAGCATGACATTTTACTTTGACAAAATTCTCATTGTTTAAGAGATTTTCGCTGTTTTAAAATGTAAATTTTAATCATGAGAAAAATATATGAGATTATGTTGTTTCATTTTGCCTTTAGATGAAAATTTTATCTGCTGATGATTCTTCTATACCGAGAGACGTTTTAATCATAATCGCATGAATTATTATACAATATTACGTTATTTTTTGCATTATTTATTAAGCACGTTATTTATTAACATTTAATTATAAATATTATGAGTTCTGTACTCTATGTATATATGTAGTACACATATAATATTCGAAATACACAAATTGTTAATAAATAATAAAATCCTTAATAAATATCCTTAATAAATAAATAAATAATAAATAATAGTTAATAAATGAAATGCACTTTTATTATAGATTATTTTACAATAACAGCATCATAATTCGCAATATTAATACTTTTATTAATATAATCGTGTTACTGTGCAAAATTTTCAAACGTGCGCGAATTTGGACGTTATCACGTGACCGAATTTCGTAAGCGCTGCTTCTTACTTCACGTCGCATGTCGTCATCGAGTGTGCAGTCACGTTCGTCTCGCGTTTCCGCGTTTTTTATCGGACGAATTTCGTATACGAACGAGTATCGGGAGTGCCGGATCTAGTAATCCAGTGCAATTGTATGTAATCTTGGAATATTAATTAACTAATCCGCGGGATTATGTGATTGAAGTCCCCGACATACTCCATACACGTTTTGTAACCTAAATAATCGTTAACTTTAACTATTAATATCTTGCTTCGCGGGGCAGAGCGACGCTTTTTTCTGCTATATTCTTTCGTTTTATGCAAAAACGCATCGAATGAGCATAATTTCATCGATATTTGAGGTGAGGACCCCAAACTGAATAATTACCGATTTTTCTTATTACAGATTGTTCTATCACAATAATCGCGATATTAATACTCTTGTTAATATTTTTTAAATTGAAGTCCCCGACATACGTTCTCCGATATACGAGCACGTAATCGGCGTCGGTCCTCTCGTTCTGTCTGTACGCATGCATATATCAAATATTTTGAAGTCAATAGTAAGTATATTTGCAAGTGGGAAATTTCTCCGAGTACTAATAGCCGCTATTCAACGAAGTTAACTCGGCATAGTGGTAATTAAAGCGGATGCTTCTAAAAAGAATTCTCTCTTTTCTCTTTCCATTCTGCTCTCTCTCTCTCTCTCTCTCTTTTGATTGAAAAAAAAAAGATATGATTAAAAGCTACCACACGATTAGATTTTTCTTATTACAGATTGTTCTATCACAATAATCGCGATATTAATACTCTTGTTAATATTTTTTAATTGTATCGCTCTCTCTCTCTGTCTCTCTTTCTCTCTTTGTAAAGAATTTTCGCGCGACCTTGGACGTGACGTCATGACGTGATAGAATTTTTGTCAATATTTTTTAATTGTATCACGCTCTCTCTCTTTCTCTCTCTGTCTCTCTCTTTGTAAAGAATTTTCGCGCGACCTTGGACGTGACGTCATTTGTCTCAAGAAAGAGAGAGAGAAAATTGCGTGTTAATATATTTTATTTGTTTCCTATACATTAGTAAAGAATAGAAAATAAACATAGCTTGTCTCTCTTTCTCTTTATATGCGTGTACATTTGCTATGATAGTCGATACGCTAGTTCTCGGAACTTCGCGCCGGCTGAGAATGTGTCGCGCACGTGATAAGTCGGGAGCATTGCACGCGATATCTCGGGAGCGTCGCCCGTGAATCTGTAGATAGACGATTATATTACTCAATCTGCTTGATAGCGATCGGACGCGTTTTTCGATGCCCGACTAGATAAGGTCGACGCCGAACGATGAAGAGAGAACGTTTACGCGCGATATCATTCACGAATACGATCGAACAACGAAAGTGCTGAATGAATGTACGGGTGATTGTTTTAGTGTCGATTAATACGCGAATGTGATTGACTGTATCGTTGACACAGCGAGAAACATCGAGATATATCATTGGATAACTTAAGCCAAGTGATTACAGCTGATTATCTATGAAATATCGATGATAATAAATATATAATTTTCTATCTAATTATTTTTTGAATTTTGCATAACGAAATTTTGGTGTGATGTAAGAAAGTAAGAACATTTTCCTCTTTCGTTGCGCAGTTCTAAAATCTCTTTAGATTCTGTGGAATTGTCAAAAAGGAAATCGAAAATTTAGACAGTTTTTAAAATCATTTTTAAAATTTATACATATATAAAATTTATATATTTACTAGTTATATTATAGATTCTCTTTCTCTGATCTTTCTCTTATAGAAAGAGAACCTATTAAAAAAAAAAAGAAAATAATCTACAGAAAATCTTTACAACTTTAGGTAATTTAATATTGAATTCCATCAGCAAATATTTAAATGAGAAGCGCTCTCGAAATATGCTACTAGTGTTTAATGATATTTGGGAACTGTTAATTAAAGTGCAGCTCAATACATTACACTGCGATTACCACAGAACAGAATATGGAATACAATATGTATTCTGACGTAGTATAGTTAGAATGCTTCATTTGCGGAAGTCACGCGGATATTACGCGAAACCTCGGCGGCGAAAGTTTTGCGAGTTCCGCAATGATGCGATGTTGGCGCGTAATTAAATGAACGATTAATTAAATAGCGTCTGCAAGAAAAACATTGTCATTGACGACGCAAACAACGCGCGATCTTTTTCGCTTTTTCTCATTTTAGGATGGGAAGGACTCACAATTAACGTAAACTGTAAAATTCTCTATTATTTAAAATTTATTTTAAAAAAACTTGATATGAAACGCTTATTTTTACGATGTTACAAATATGTGAAAAATATGTTTTTCTTTTAAACGATATACAATATTTTGAGTTTCTTTCCAACCGTGTGTCAATTTTTGATATATAAAAAGTAATTGATTTTTCTTTTACAATTTCCTGTACTCTAGTTGAATTTCTCTCTTTAAATAAAAGATTACTATCTATTTTATTTTACAAAAATCTCTCTTTGTGCACATTATATCATCCGTAAAACAATCTGTAAATGTCAAGCTTCTATGTTTATTAGATCCACAAAGAAAATGTTTCTTATCTATAAAAAGCTTATGGGAATCCAGCCTCAGAGATAAACACGTCCATGAACTTTATATTCTGTGACATTTAAAAAATATCCTTAGTCGATTATAGAAATAGGCGTAGATGATGCATAAATAATACGTATCAGATCTTTAAATAATTAATTTCATACTATTTTTTCTCATTTAAATTGTATGTTATATTATTATTCTTTGTAATAATCCAAATGTTTTTATACGCTACTGTAGCTCTGATTTTCCAAGAAATATGAAGGTTGAGGCAAAACATACATGTGGAACTATTTCCGAGAAGGCTCGGAATTTGTAATGAATTGCTTACACACGTTTATATCCCTTAATTAAACAACTTGCTAACCGCTAAATTAGTTAGACTTGTGAGAGAATTTTAATAACGTTAAAATGCAATGTGCACGATAAGTAAATACGTGTTGATTTGTGGATATTACTTTTCTATGCAACTCTTCACTTTGCACTTTTACAATTAAGATTATTTTTTCGTTAGAATAAATAAATAAAGTATATTTTTGCATTGTGCAAAAATCTTACGATTTCTAAAAAAACATGAAAAATTCCAAACTTTATCTCACATTTACACATTTATTTCATATACAAGATTTTGTTGAAATAAAATTTGCATACATATTGGAGATTAATTAAATAATAATATTTTTTTATTTATTTATATCGCTGAATCTTGCTTCGCGTTATTAAATTTTTATAAGTTTTTTCGTAAACATCTAATTTTTACTATGGAATGCATGGAATACTTTGTCATCACCTGTTTCATTAATTCTTATGCTCTTCCATTTCTTTCATGAAATTAATTTATTCTTTTATTTAATTGATTTATTCACGGTAGATTCATTGCAATTCATCGAATGTAATTTTTGAAAATAAATACAAATTAAATTAAAAGTAAATCTAAAACTTTATTTAAATTATGATGAAAGTTAAATATTTGGTATTGAAGCGTATTGGAATAAATTCAGGATTAAAATATCCACAGTGCGAAAAGAGAGATCATTTTTGTCGTGAAAATAGATTCTTAATAAAAGGGAATCGAGAATATTTCTCTGTCAAGAGAAAGAGAAAAATTCAAAATTGACATCTGTAAATGCGAGCGAAAAAAAAATGACGACTAAAACTGACGGCTGAAAAAGCAAACTCACCTACACATTGCTAAAAATTATTATAGAGAAACTAAAATAATATCGAAGGAATAAAAAATAAAAAATATTTATATTCGTGAACAAAATGTTAAATCTTGACAATTAAAAAAAAAAAACAGATACTATCTGTGGAAGAACTATCTGTGGAAAAACATTGCAAGCGCCAAATTTATTAGTTTAATATTTGAATGGATAAAGATAAAAAATATATTGAATTATATATACGCGAAATATATATTATAAAAATTGATTTATATATAAGTATATGAAAATGTGAAATAAAGATAAAAATATTGCAATAACAATTTATATGAAAATATTATTCTTAATATTATCTTATTGAATATTGTTTTGTCAAACAAGAAAAGATTTTATTGATTACTGTTAAACTTTCAGTATAATTGGCGTTCTATCACTACTACTTCCGAGAATCTCTTTAATAAATCGGAATAAAAAAAAAAGTCAGAAATTATTCACTGAAATGCAAGGCTGCAGAATTCGATGAAGTTAACATTTCAATAAATGTTCAGATTCAATTGAATATGTTGTCTGCGGTATAAAGTTAATTGATATTTTCCATCAACGATAAAATATATTATCAATGTATCCGAAAATATAAAAGAGGAAATATTTCTATTCAAAGTTTATCAATGCTCAACAAAACTTTTAGTTTTATATTATATAATACAGTCCGATTTTATTATGATTTTTCTATTTTTCTCATATTGAGATCGAATTCAACCCTTGAGATTTCAAACGACTTTTTGTGTTTTTATTTAGGGATTACGAACGATTTGACCGGGATTGCTGTAAACTCGCGATTTCCCGTGCTTCTACTCATTAGACTAGACATTAGACTAGTGGTCATTTATTTTGCCACGGCACTTTGTGGCGGTTGGATTAAGCTTAATCGAGCGTGTAAATCCGCGGGTCGTGAACCGCTTATTATAGATATCGCCTTTCCTCGACAACGACGCGGCGGAAATTCAAGCGATCGGTCATGATGCGTTGATAAGGTCATGCGATAACGTAACAGTCTCGGTCAAGTAATCTTGAAAGATATATATGGTCAGAGAGAATTATAGTTGCTATCGTGCTGAATTATGTGTTTTTCTTTCTCCTTTCTCTCTCGGAAGAAAGACATGATAATGCGATCGGTAAGCCTTCACTTTACGCCCGCGACTAACTAGACGAGATTTATGTCGTTTTTCCAGTTATATGAACTTGCAGCCTGACTTTACAAAAGTTAAAAATTAATAACATAGTTCGTTTGTACTTTATTTGTATCTGTTTGTATCGCATTTTATTTCGTTTGTACTTCAAAGGGTAAACAAATACAAAGTGATTAAAAAATGGCCAGCGCTCAATTTTAAGATATTTTAATTTCATTAACGTTATTCGATAGAGAATCGTTTGTACCCGTTTGTACCATGTTTCATTTCGTTTGTACCTCAACCGGTTCGAAAGTATAGCATTTTTCAATTTTTCAAAATTAATCTGGAGCCCGACTTTACCATTTTTTAATCACTTTGTATTTATTTACCATTTGAAATACAAACGAAATAAAATGCGGTACAAACGAATACAAACGAAGTACAAACGAACTATGTTATTAACTTTTAACTTTTGTAAAATCGAGCTCCAGGTTCACATAGCTCGTTTTTCCTCTGACAAAGTCTCGATACGATAACTTTTTCATCCACGATCATATATTTCGATTAACGTGGGCGTTATATTACTCTTTGACGCGCGTGAACGTGGATGCTCGTAAACAAATTATAATTTATTATAATTGAGAGAAATACGAAAAAGAATTAAAAATCAGAGATGTGAAGAGAAAACAGAGATATTAGAAAATAAAAAAAATAAAAAATAAAAAATTGAAATCTTGATCATATTAGCTGATTATATATGTATATTAGGGTTGCGAACAGAGGATTATCATATATCTAGAGGCATAGTTCCAAGAATTGAACTATGACATTTTAGTAATTAAAAATGCGCAGAAAAAAAATAGCAAAATATAACGGTAGGTTAAATTCCATACAACACATTACACATTAAAGCAAAAACTAATTATAAAACGTTCTACTTGTAAATTTAATTTATTTCGATTAAAATACACACACAAGCGCACCTGCACTGCGATAGCATAATCAAGATAATTTGCAACAATATGTATTATCTTCAATTATTTTAATGATATAAAATTTTCTCTTTTATATTATAAGTAAAAAATTTATAAACATTTATAAACAATATAAGAAGTTATTAAAAAAATGTTTTATTTTTGAAATAACGCCAATTTTTTTTTGGTTGCAATCAACATTTACAGAAGCGCATTCGTGTAAATTGTATCTCATCGCGAAACGCTGATTGAAAAAAACGGGAAAAAAACAGAATAAAAACATATGTATGTAGCCGTTCAAGCTTAGCAATTAATCCGAATTTCCTGAAATATATAGGTATTGTATCTGCGTATTTCCATTTCTACATAATATATGCATTATTAATAGTGTAAAATTTTTCCCGGGTATTAAAAGATCGGGACACAATAATACTTCGCTTATCAGGAAAAATTTATTTGAAATTAATCAAGAAAAATATGATTGAATAGGGTTTTGAAAACATTTTTCGTGTAAATATTTGGTATAAATTTATAATGTTTCAAATATATCTCTTTTAATTCTATTGTTTCAGCCACTAATTATAAGATTCCCGTCTGTAAAACACGAAATTTATAAAATTGAAATTTAATACGTCGCAGTTTTTTTTCGGGGGCTTATAGCTTGTATATATACAATGTTTAACGCGAACTTAACACAGTTGCGACATGCTACAAATTATCTTGTTACTGCATCAGTTACACTGCGCTCTTCTTTGTCGATTCATCATACCGTACACTCGACTATTGCATTTGACTCATTTGGAGACTATTTGGAACAAACGATGCGATGCATATGTCTTTAACGGCTTCAATTAAAGTGCGTTTAATCGGTCAATCAACAACTGAGAAGAAAGCCGAAAAGTCTTTTCTGCTATAACCACGAACGCATGTACACTACGGGAGAGGTCCTTGATCGAGAATCGAGAGCCTGTCTCGTGATGCATGTAGGTCAATCGGCACGTGTCAGCTCTGCGGTTCGAGAGGTCACTGCTTGCGGGTGGAAGTGACGTGTAATAGTCGTTCGATTTATCGACTTTTAATCTCGCAGAGCGAGATCAACCGCTGAATACGTGTTGCGTGCACGCATGTTACTTGTTAGCTGTTGTTATGTGGTTGTTCGATCCTGTGCCACTGTGATGCATATTACGAACGCATATTGCGAGCATATCGCGTATCGCGAACAAAAAATAACATGATTCAACGCTCAAAAAAAATTTATTTTTCTAGAATTACTCTAAGTATTATTTTGAATCAAACTTCAATTAATTTAATCAGTAAGTATTAATTTAACTGAGATATAATATCTTATCATCAAAATTTCTATATTATCTATATTATTCTTTAATTTAATCTATCTTTTTGTATCAAATGAGAAAAAAGTAATATTTTTTTTCATATTAATAATAATATTAATTTTAAATGTTATTAACAAAATATAGATTATACAGATTATTTGGTCGATTAGTTGCCAATTAAATCATCTGGAATTTAAGTATTAAAGTTATCCTAAGAAACATGATATAGAGACAAGAAGAAAGATGGGTTGCGCAATATAATGAAAAATTTGTGTAATGAATTAAAAAAATAATATTATTATAAAAATATTGCAAATAATAGAATTTTCTTCTGTATATGTATTTAAAATTTAGATAATTTAGATAATTTTAAAATTATTATGATAGAATTATTATGATATATCTGAACATGTGTGGCTTACGAACGCAGACATTTATAGATCTAATGGTTCATCCATAAATATGTACGCATCTATTATGTGTATAATATGAAATATATTTATTTATTGAACATACGGGGAAGGAGAAGAGAATAGATTTGTTTCATGATTCTAGATACTAAACATTGATTATATATTTGTTATGAAAATGGTAATATTATGTGAATATACTTACTGGTCCTGAGTACTGTGCGTTAGCAATGGATATTTCTGGCGCCGCGAAGGCCGGTGTGCCAGCTTTCCCTGATAATAATTCTCCAGGTTCTCTTAATTCCGTGCTGACTCCTAAATCAGCAATTTTAATTCTGTCGTCTCTGTCCACCAGTAGATTGCTTGGCTTTATGTCACGGTGCACTATCTTCTGGTAATGCACTGCGCACATATAACAATAAATATTACATAATACCTTCTTTAATCATTGTATGCTATAATTTTTATTGGGATTTAATTATAAGAAATGCGAATTTTTCATAAAAAATATTCACAATTTTTTGTATTTTACACATATCTTGATATTGTTGAAGTTAAAAAATGATTATTTAACTGTTTAATATATTTCAGTTATTTATTTTTTGGCAAGATGAAATATTACAAATGTAAAATTGATTATTATCTAAATAGTTTTATACATATATCTATAAAGTTAATATTGCATTTTTTCAAAATTTCGATATAATTTCTGAAGTTTTTGATATGTTTTACAATTTCAATTAGGTTTCTACAAATCAATCTTTATCCTAGAGAGTATTGTTATTTATAAAATCTAAATTATCATCAAATTATTAATTATCAAAATTATGTCTTAAATATTAAGCGTAACATACACATACATCTATTACACATTTTAAATGCAAAAACTCTTCTCATTAAATATAAAAAGAAAGAAAATGCAAGCTTCTAATTGTACGATGATTGGATAATACGATGCAAACAAACCACATCGTGTCACTGACATTGTTTTTGAGTTTACGTAATGTATGTGACACCTCTTCCGTCATTGATCCGCGATAAGCGCCGTGATCCGTAACAGGCGCCACATATATTACATAAATCCATCTGTCGATTTGCATACTATCATTTAACGCGTAAGTGATAAACATGATGCATTGTGCATCTAAATGCTAATGCTAAATATAGTCATATTCTATGGCACATGATCTAATTAAAGAGCCTAAAAAATTTGAATCTCGATTTTAAGAATATATTTAGGAATGAACATAGAATTAAAAAAAGCTTAGTTTCTGATTTTATTATAGAATTAAATAAATCTTAAATCTCGATTACTTAATTTCTTGTAATGTGATTATTAGAAAAAAAAGACAATTTTAAAATGTATAGTGGATGTATAATATGTGTATAAGCTTAAATATAAAACACAATTTTTATAATTAATAATTTGATGAATAATTTGATTAATAATTTAAAATTTTCTAAATAACAATACTCTTTCTCTCTCTCTCTCTCTCTCTCTCTCTCTCTCTAGGACAAAAATTGATCTGTAGAAATCTGATTGAAATATATAGAATTCATTGACATAAATTATAAATAATATAATGACTCACAATATTCGACTCCCATGACGACGTCGCGAAAGTAACGTCTGGCTGTTTCTTCTGTCAGAGGATTTTCAGTGGGTATAACGAGGATTTCGCCCCTGTGGACTAGTTCGAAGACCAAGTAGAGATTGTCCTTATCAGGATGGTCGAGTACTTCGACTAGTTTGACGACATTAGGGTGATCGAGTTTTTTCAGGATGGCAATCTCCTTGTAAACTTTCGCCAAGGGATCTGCGCCCGCCCTGCGGGGTGGTATTTTACCAAATATCCCCGTTTTCTTCATCAATTTCCTCTTGCTAACTATTTTCATGGCGTAATGCACTCCGTCTTCCTCATTGTAGACCTTCTTCACGACACCAAAAGAGCCCTGAAATGCAAGCGCGAAATGATGCATAAATAAATACGCGGGAGCATATAATCAGCATATTTTTCTGTTTTCAAACGACGCCTGATTTTTTTGCAGATGTTTATCTGCATGGAATTCTCGATTACTATTATTTTTAATTTAGCCTTTAATTCTTTCGCGATTTTTGCCGGATAAATGCATATTATATGTTTTTGAGACACTTGTCATTTACATGAAGGATAATTTTATTCACACACGTTACAAATAATATATTTGCATAAATATCAATTCGTTATTTAATTTTGATTAAAATAAAAATCGTGCAAGTGTCCCTCGATGGAACAGCGTTTTTAAATTTTGCTTTTACCAAAGATATTATCATATTAGAATTATTCTTAGAATAGCATTAAGAAAAATTAATTAAAAATTTTAATTAAATATTAAATTGAAAATAATTAAGCGTGTCACATTATTTATTATTAACTGAAGTTGTTGTCAGTCGTCTCATCAATGTTAGTTAATTTATCCGTGAGCTGTATTAGTTCATCGCGCAGAAATAGCTCTTGATGTAAATAATATGGTAATCATAGCATAGTCGGGTTTTTTACTCATCTCGACGAGAACATTGCCATATAATTATGCAGAAGGGATCGATGTAATGACGTGGCTGGAAAAGAGAGAGGTTGGCTTTAATACGTCGTTTATAAATACGGGACGATGGTGATTTCGTGATATCGAGCATGTCAACGTCGCGAAGTTGAACCGATTAAACGTCAAATTGGCATTAAATTTTATTTCAATTTTTACTTTACTTCACTTTATTTTTATTTTGATGAGAAATTCAATTTTAAGTTTGCCGATGTAAATGGATGCGATAGGAGAGAGATTGAATTAATAAAATTAGTGAATTTGTCTCTTTCGTTCTTTTTACGTCGGTGATACTTGAACATAATCTCATGAAGAACGACGTTTGATTTTTTATTTATAAAAAAAGAGTAGGTTTCTTTTTCTTTCTTTCTTTCTTTTTTTCTCCGGGGAAATCGATCTCTGAAATTCTCGGCGTGAACCTCAAGATCGTGCGCTGTAAACTTCTCGCAACTGAAAGCTTCGCGCTTTTCATTTGGTTACGGCAAAGTGCAAAGTTATTGCGGTGGTTATCCCGTTCTCTTTCTTGTATCTGTTTTGAATCCAATCACACTACGTTGAATACGTAAGCGTCGAAGCGAGCACCGCATTTTCTACCGCGCTTCTGTGTACGATTTTATTCAAGAAAAATGTGTGAGCACCATTTACGAAGTAATAAAACTCATTCTTTTGAAACGCGCGAACGACTTTTAACCTTTCTATTGTTATACATGAAGTTTATTCAGAATTTTCTTCAGTTGTCTATTTTTATTTTCGTTTAGAGACGATTAAGCGTTTTTATTTAAGTTATCTCTCACTTGAATCTCTATTTAATCAATTGAAAGACTAACAGAAAACAAGTCCAGCTAGAGATGGATATATATATATATATATATATATACACAGTCTCCCTGAAGAAAAGAACTGAACTCATTAGACAAGAGGTGTATAGTAAACAATTCTCGAGAAAACGCTTCAGCAAATTAACGGAAAAAAATTTCAATCTATTTATCCCGTAAATAGGTCGGTTATTATAATGAATAAGCAAATAAGCGCAAAGACGACGATGATCTTAACAATTTTTATCATTCATAGTTCGGCTCCTGCGGCCAATATTGCCTTACCAGATGCAATGAATAATATAATTTATCAGTAATCCGTAATTGCTCCTATTTATTATTTTAATACTACTAATTATTTCATAGGAACGAAGGACAGAGCGGAAATTGCTGAAAATGATGACTCGCGGCACCAGTTATTGGTTATTGAAAAAATACTCGTATTTGTGATATCGATAAAATCATATTATTCTCTAATTAGATACGTAAGCGATGCGAAATGATTTCGCTCTTCAAAGAAAGAGAAGTGATCGTAAATCTTCTTATCGGCGAATGTAGCTTGTTAAAAACCGCGGATGTAATTGAAAAGGCTTTAGATTCTATCACAATATACGCGAAATATTCGCCATGAATGTTAATAATTAATAAAGAAATTTATATATATTAATGATTATTAAGTTATAAGCGATTAAGAATATTTAACAACTTCGCGAAGCAAATCGATAATAGAATTATTTTATTTCGATTTCAAGCCGATTTTAGCGAAATTTTAATCTTACCTTTCCGATTTCATCCAACACTTTATATTGATTCAATTGTTGATTGTCGTGTTGGTTATCGATAAAGTTGCACGTGTTGGCTCCAACGGAGTGCTCTCTATTGAGTACTCTGTTGCGCATCCTGGGTGATCCTTGAGGAGTGCTGTAAGGATAGCGAGGAGGAATGGGCTTGTCGGTTACATTGACAGTTTCCCCGAGCAATCGTTGGTTCGATCGTGCTTCACCGGACAAAGATAATTTTTTCGTATCTACTATTCGACTATTGTCCGCGGCAATAACAGTTGCCACATTTGTATTCGGAGCACTCTTAGAATCACTCAATCCAATAGTTTTGTCGATCACTTGCTGGACTTTAGCTGTCTCGTCCATCTCCCGCATACTCCCGCCACTTTCACGCGGAAGATCCTTGCGCGATGTCAGTTGCAATTTGACTAAACATAGATATAAACGATAGTGAAAAAATCTCTTTTGGTTTTTATTATCTAATTTCGACAAAATTACTCTTTTGGAAAAAGTAAATTTTCTAACGTTATTTTTCATATTGGATTAAATAAGAGAATTCATAAATAAAAAAAAGAAAATTTGATATATTAGATGGCTTTTATAGAAATAATTTTCTTTTATTGTAATATATTTTTTAAAGTATAAATAAACTCGCATCCATATGATTTTTCGCGTTAGAGCGATCATATTTTTTCGCTGTTATATCCGACCACTAAATCATATTGATAGTGATGTAGTTTACTTACCAACATCCTCTGTTAACTCGTTGCTCTCGGGACTCTCTTGTTGGGGCAGGGTCTTTTCCTTGAGGACCTCCTTCACCTCCTCGATGCTAGGCATGTCGAGGCCGGAGCTCGACACCTTTCTATGTATCTCTGTCGTTGGCATTTTTTTTTCCGGTATATCTGCGGTCAGCTCCTGCTCTTCAATGCTCTCTTCTACCCTATAAGCAAGGTTTTTAGTCAAGGCTTTCGTTCTCGATACGCGTCTTTCCTTTGGCAATAGGTCCTGCGGCTGCGTGTCACCGTTTGTTGTCGAGCTTCTTCTATTATCGTCGAAGCTGCCTCGAGGACTCACGTAGCCGCTGCTCTGTCTTCGGACATCCGTGTAAGTCGGTTTCAAAGTCGGCTTCAGCGTTTCTTCCACTTCTTCAAGGTACAATGCGCTGTCTTTGCGTACTTCCTGGATATATTCCGGGCTTGACGGCACTTTCGACGAACTAGGTACGTCCGTCGATAATACGGATTCAGAAGGCAAAATCTTTGTCTGCCTCGAGATATAAGGGAGTGAATCTGAAGGAGAAGGGCGATCGATCGCACTGCGTCTGAAAAAAATGGGGACAAATTTTCTTAATTATGGCTTATGCATATGAAAATTGTTGCAATTAGGCGACAATTAACATTTGATAATAACACTCATATCTTAGCAAAAATTAAACAAAAATAAATTGTATTCTTGAGGAAAAAAAAAAACGGAGGATTTCTTTATGATATTTTTTTAACGATAAATAAAATCAAGTATTTAAAATATTTTCATTGTATGTTATATATCGTATATAAAATGCATAAAAGAATTTATGTTATATACCGTATATAAAATGCATAAAAGAATTTATCAAAGCGTTATTATCTCTACTAGCCATCATGTAAAAGTACAGAGTTACAACTCGAAATGTCAGACAGTGAAGGCGCATAGTGGATTATCGAGATAATCGGTACGATATCTGATACCATAAAATAATTACGGGAGAAGGCATCACCGACACGCGTTTAAACTTCGTCAAATGGCAACGGACGACATATAAATAGAGCTTTGACAATACGCATGAAGTTCCGTGTAACCTGATACATGGTTTATTGGCTTGCGTCGTGTTAATGACGAGGCACATCGAAATGCCAATAAGTCAAACTTCAGAGTCAAGAATAAATAATGATTCTGATGCTTTTTAAACGATGTTGTCTGTTGGAAGATTAGCAAAATGACGTTTCTAAATTTATGCATTTATTATTTATGCATCTTTGCATTTATTACGCCTCGAAGCATACCTGAAGTATATTATTATTATAATTACTCTTATCGATCATTATTAATGCATCAATGGAAAATTTTTACTGTCAAATTTTGATTGTCGCATCAAATGTTAATGTAGATAACGTAGGAATGTGGATTGCTTGATTTTAGCTATAAAAGCAAGATAGTGGGAGCAAGTATAGATATCTGTATTAAAAGAAGAAGTATTTTACAGAATTTGCATGGAAAATAGTAAGAAATGTAGTATAAATGTGTAAAATGTGTATAAAAACGAATAATTGTTTAAAAAAATACATTATAAATAATTACATACTTTTTCTTAAAAACAATTATTTTTTTTACAAATTTGTTGTATGTGGCAAAATATCTTTTGAGAATATTTTTTGTATTGAGATAGATGCAAAATTGAAACATGAAATATTTAATGAAACATTTTAGACGAGTTTAAAAGATTTTGCGTTGGATCATTAAATTCGTTATTATATAGTTATTTATGTTGAGAATTAAAGGATTTTGACAAACTAATTTGATAAAGAAAAGATATTTTGTTCTTATGTGTCTCTTCATATCTTGTGAAAAGCGTTTGGTCAACGAAAATTAGATTTACTATAATTCTTGGAATTTTTACACGCAAAACACGGTTAGTCCACACACAGGGTACACATCTTTATTTATTGGTTTATTACTCACAAATATTTATGCAACATCTGATATGACGATTTAACGTTATCCATTATTTCAACTAAAAGTTCGCGTGACTATTACTTCGTAAGAATTAAATCCTCCGTTTGCGTGACAATGCAACTTATCAGAACTTCACTTTTAAGCGAAGCATGCATTATGATTCAACATCTACATTGTAAGCATTTTTGCGAGCGTAAAAGTCGATCAAAACATCGATAGTTCATTTTTCATCCTTAGTAGACGATAAAAAAATGGACAAGGCACATTATACTTAGGATCACGCGAGGCGCCGCTTGCAGTCGCCTGATACACGTAGGGAGTGAAGTGCAATTCGACACGAAGCCGGTGGTCGGTATGCGGATCAATTGTACGATCCGAACTAGGCCAATGAATGCGACGGCAAGATGCAAGATCCGCATTCGCCGCAGCCCGGGCAAAGTCCCATTGAAGTCAAAACGCTCCCTCGATAAGGGAGTTAATAAATGGCGCTCTTCAACACGAACAAATTGAAGATTTTCTAATGAGAATTATGAAATAGCGCATTTCTGACTCAATTTTATAAACGTATTAATAATGTTATATACCAATAACAATTAATGAAAAAGCAGATATATATTTAAATAAAAAACATTACGATTTTATATAAAGCATACATATAATTTTTAAAAATTAAAAAAACGATTAAAAAAAAGAATGAGTAAAAATATTAATAGAGCGAACACACACACACACACACACACACACACACACACACACACACACACACACACACACACACACACACACACATTTTTTTGTTTTTTGTAAAAATATTTAATATAACATAAATACATTTGCAATCTAATTATTATTCGTGATTTATTTGTATTTTTCTTTTTAATTCGATTACTATATACACATCAGAAATCTCTATCTCAAAATCAAAGACAACTCGTTAGAGAATCCAATTCAATGGTTATTTTGAATTTACCTTAATTAGGCGATTTCTTGCGAAATTGAATTCTATTACAGCGTGCTGAAGTATTCTTCGACAGTTTGCTACAAACATCTAGGGAATAGTTGTGCATATCATTGCTTTTACAAATGCATCGAATAAGGCAACGTAGTTCCATACAAGTCTATCAAGCTATTCCTGTATTATTTGCGGGAATAACGCATAGTTCAGAATTGTACACTTAATTTTGAGTACATCATTATAACTTTGCTATTTGAAGCGAGAGAATAATCTTCCAATTAATTGAAAAAGATCTTTAAGATTTATAATACTTTTCAATTATTAGCGCAAAACATATTTTTGCACTTGTATTTTGTTTGCACTTATACATCTTTTAATAAAATTAATTTTCAATTTCAGAAAATAAGATATTAAATAAAATATTTTGTTTGTATAGTCGAAGTTATAAAAAATATATAGCATTTTTTAAAAATAATTGCTATCTGACTTTAAGATTAAAAAAAAAAAAATCATCGATATATCCTTATATTCAATTTCTAGTTGTTTGTAGTGATTTTTCTTTCGTTCGTAGTTAAATCGTTCAAAAGTTATAATATACTGATAGTAGCTTCAAGATGTAATTTTGTCAATTTTAAAAATACTTCAAATTTGTTTGTGTCATGTTTTTTAGAATTAAAATAAACGATATATAAAAAGTAAATTTCGGTTTTCTATCTCAGAACACACACAAAATCTCAGCTGATGATCAGATCAATACGAGCCTTTGAGTATTAATGCACATAACATAAAGTATTTGCAATATTACTATACTTTCCGTACACTTCTCTTGTTCTCCGTAGAAGGCCGATTCTCGCAGCAAATATTAGTTTCGATATTTATTCAGATCCTCTTAACTATATACCGCTACCTAAACCCTCGTATTGGCCTTGTAATAGTATTGGCCCTGTAATCGGCTTGCATTTTTTAAAATTATTCATAGTTGTTTGTGAGGATTTTCCGTTTGTGTGTAGTTGTGCCATCTTTCAACAATTGCAAATATATCATAACGTTTTTTTTTGATGCTATATTTTTATAGCTGCAACTACGAATTTATTTTTACTGCAAACAATTATAAATGAAACATCATTTTTTATATCGGAAACTTAATTTATTAATAAAAATATAATGTTAAGTGTGCATAGATTGATTTTATTAAGTATTGTTAGCTTTTCTTGAATACTGCAATATTCTGTAGGTTATCTTCTTATGTAGTTTTTAACAATTTTCACGATAAAAATGCACAGGCTATTACGTAAGAAATGCTGAAACAAAAACTGGCCAGTAACAGATATTTACAGATATTCCGTGCAAGGAGACGCGTGTCATCCGAAGAATGTGCATCGTCGAATGTCGATGCTGGATTTTTTTAAGTGCCTGTATTCAATACATAAACAGTATAAGATATACGTGAGAAAGGGCGGATTTATAAGAAATCCTGCATCATTCATTAAATCAATCGTGTACTAAAATTAAATTGAACATGTGTGTGTTTTCCATCTTCTCTTCATAAATTTCTTTCTTTTCATAAATCTTTATTTTATCTGCATCATACATTTTCCACAAAAGTGCGCGGCACAGCTGTGAGCTTGAAAAAGTAACTTTCACACCTTCGTACTGAGAAAAACTGCCATTTATAATTGGATACATACATCGAATATGGAAAATTGTTTTTGCCCGTGTTCAACATGAACATGTCTCGGCGATCGATTGCCACCTGTTACGATCGGCAATGAGAATCGTTTAGATATGACTAGAGCGTACGGCGTTCCATAGAAAAACGTTTAACACTCAACGAGGCTCGAGAACGATCCGCGAATGCCAACGAACGAATGCGATCGCCAGAAAAACTTGATGACACGTGTCCACCGTTGTTTATGTACACGAAGCACGTAGCACCGCGGAATGCGCATTTATATGCATTTTGTCTCGCCGTATCCGCATCCAACCGACAAATGAGCGATAGATGCACATATATACATAAATCCCGATATACACTTGCGTAGCATGAATGAGACTCGAGAAAAACTGAATGATTCGCATTTTCTCCACATTGTTAACTTTTTTCAAAGAACAAACATATGAAAGGAATTTATAAATTTGTTGACAATCAAAATTAACAATTGTCTGCATAATTTGTAAGAAAATCATTTTTATTAATACTTGGCTTATTAATTTTTCGCGGTATTAATTATTTTTCTCGATATGTATTTTGAGGTGGGTAAACATATATATGAGCGAACGAACAACGAACGAATAAGGAATGCGAATTTTCAAACATTCGCATTCGTGTTCGTCGTTTGCTCTTTTTTTCGCATTGTACCGAATATTTGTTTTAGACTGCATTCTCATCCATACTGCGCACAAATTCTCTTGCACTGTTTCGTAAGCGAATGGATCCGAACGCGAATCTCTCTTGAATCCTGATAGACGTTCCATTTGTAATCGTTATGACGTACACATTTTCTCTAATATTAAAATATTATTTTTCTTTTATTTTTCAAGATCTTAATAATTTTCCTATTACTACGAAGGATAAAAGCTTATTTATTGTGATTAAAAAGAGTATTACCGATGAAAATTAAACTCGTTGTTCAAATAAACGAGCTTAATAAAAA